GGGGGGGGGGGGGGGGGATCGGGATAGTCATTGGATTCGTGCACGATACGCGCTGTCATCGTCTGCGCAAATCATGTTGCGACTTCTAGCACGTGACATTTTCCTCCCAGCTCATGCGTTGTCTTCGTTTTGCTAGAGTGTTGCCCGTTTCTTTGTTGGACGCCAAAGGCCGGACCAACAGAACCTGTTTTCACACCATCCAGACACACAAACCACACTCCCAAAGCTCGACTTCAAAGAGCAGGGTTCGTCACAACATACGCCAGACAAAAACAACCCAGCAGCGCACGCACGCGTGTTGCGTTTGCTCCCCCCCCAACGTTCCAGCATACGCCTACCAACACCAAGACTAGAGTCGCTTACCCCCTGTGTCAGCTTGTGGCGGCTCTCGTTCAGCGATGTTGCCGCGCGCACGATCGCCGGACGGGTGTCCACTGCCCCGCCCCCATCGCCGCCGCCACCGCCGGTGCCGCCGGCGTGACGACTCGTGTTGAGGGAGGCACCGCCGTGACCGTGTCGGCTGGAGTTGAGCCCGCTGAGCCCCTTGGCCAAAATCTGTGGCACAAGAGGGGTAGGTAGGTGGCACGCGCTCAGAAATAATGAATCGACCGCCGGTGGGTTCCCTCAGTAAAAAAAAAAAAAAAATGAACAAGCGTATATATATATATCCCTTTTCTAGGGCTCACGCTTAGAATTCATAAATAACTTCTCAGGCTACGCATATTTATAAAAACATGCGCATGTGTACTCCCCCTTCTTAAGAGGCCGGGCGGGCGGCGCGCACGCTCGTGGTGGCGCAGACGTCCCAAAAGTGCTGATAGTGTGCAATGAGGGGGGAGGGTGGGGGGGGGGGGGGTTCCGGAGGTATGGGCCGTTGAAAACGCGCCGCTTCCAAGACACCACACGGCTGACATGTTCTTTGAGAACTCTCAACGCTATCGCCACATTTCAGTTTGTGTGGTGTGTGTATGTGGGGGAGGGTGCACCTTTCGTAGAACGTCTTTAGTCCTGGATGTTTGTCTTTACCCTATACCCTTACCCTTTCGGCCCGACCCCCGCCGTGGCGGCTGTCGTTGGGAATGAACCTCTGCGCCGTCTTGAACTCCTTGAACACGGCCGTCTTCATCAGCTGGTCGCGATAAAAAAGAAAAGAAAAAAACGTTTACGTAACGGGCTCATCAGCAAACCTTAACACGCACACACGGGCGAGGAGGAGAGGAATGGTGTGCGAGAAAACAACACCGACACAACAAACCAAAAAGCATAAAAAAGAACTGATCAGTCTGGTACCTCCATGTATTCAGCTACAAAAGGAGAGCAAAACGTACTTACACGTATGCATATTCAACAACAACAGAAGGAGAGAACAGCATTTATTGAGAAAGAAGCAAAAACCGTTTCGCGAAGAAACGCCTTGTCTGGCTCGCCTGGTAGACGCAGGCAAGGTTCATCCTCCCGAACCCGTGGTGGTGCCGCATGACCGACACAGCAAGCAGCCACCACAGCCCCCTCTTGAGGCCCGGGTACTGCTCCGCCAGCATGAGCATCTGTTACCGCATGAGGCAGAAACAAGAAAATACATTGTAGGGGGGGGGGGGGGGGGGG